TGTATGTCAATGCCCTCTTTCAAATTTCAACCTTCTTATTTACTTAGGAGAACAAATACAGAGATGCCCCATCCCAAGACGTACGCAGCGCTGCGTATAAAATGAAGGTTATATCGACATTATATTCGCGTTATATCCCTTATAACCTCTATATAACCTACTTGAACTTACAAATAAGTTTCACGCTTTTGTTTTCATATATATGTAGGTTACATGAAAGTTATATGGAGGTTATAAGGGATATAACATGAATATAATGCCGATATAACGCCCATATAACCTCCATTATGTACGCAGCGCTGCGTACGTCTTAAGTACGCAAATTTTTTCCCCATTCCAGCTACTTGAATCAGAAGAAAACTTATTCTGTCAGAGAACACCTTCCCAAAACTAAAATTCATTACAATAACCAAATACAAAGCGTCTGATTTGATAAGTCAGTGATTGTTTATAAAGAAAAAAAATTACAATGATCACCAACACAGATTTACCACTTAACACCTGCTGTTCATCATCAGCCCAGGTAAAATCCATTGCAATACAATTATCTGAAAAAGTTCTGTAAAAACTTGGTCTTGATCAACAAACACTGACAGATTTCTGTTTTATCTTCCTAGAAGGCGGCGAGTGCGCGCATTGGCACCCTGTACTCTGTAGTTTAGTTCCTGTACATCATCTTCCATGTGATCCAAAGCCTTATTCTGCCTGCAATTAACCATGAAAAAACATAATAAGATTTCCAGATAGAACAGAGCGAGAAGGTCTTTGTGAGAACCTTTTTAGAGTCTGTTTGGAACAGCTATAATTTTTCATAAATATTGTTACAAAGTTGTGTTGAGGATAACTTAGAAAGCTACAGTGAGAATTATATATATTAATTTCTTTTTTTCTAAAAAACTTTCTTATAGTAATCACACTAATGGATTTGGTTGCAAAACCCAACCTTCGATTTTAAAATTTCTAGAAAACAACAAGAAAATAGTTCTTTAAGGCGGTGATTGGCTGTAGCCTAATTTATGTTAAATAGGATTTATCAAATCAAGTAAATCCGATCTTCAGTGCGACGGAGATGAACTCGCGAGCGATGATAGGGAGAAATTCTTAAATTTGTCTCACAATCGGATTTACTAAATCCGGATTTATGCCCTGAAAGAGACGAAGCGTAGGGAGAAAAGATGAACGTGAAAAATTTCGATTTAATAGAACGTTGAATTTAATTTTCATTTTTTTGATGTTTGATTGGGTTTACGCTAAATCCTGGCTAAATCCTGTTTATATTATACTACCAAACACCAAGCGGTCTATAACACATAGCAGACAGAAAATTATTCCAAACTAATCTTTTTAACGAAGCAGCTACATATATTCGAAGGGAATAAATAAACAATCTTTACCTTTCAATTTCAGATCCCATGTCTAATGCCATTGATTTGAGCTCACCCAATATGTTGCTGAGGTCTGAAAGTGCATCATCTTGCTTTGCCTTCTCCATCTGGTCAATCAAAAAGGAGTAACAAGTATATGATGAAATACCAGTTTAGAGCACTTCATTCTGCAAATTATTTATTTCCATTTACATATATAACACCCAATCACTATGTATTTACATATCTAACACCTATACTTTACTTTTTAAATTTATACCAACAAATCTTTCATATCACATCTAAAATACCACTATTAAAAAGTTAAAAACATCTTTTTCATGCATTTGAAAGGTGGGGCATATATGTAAACATAAAAGTGAAAAGCATCAAAATGATCCCGTAAGTAATTTGAGGGTTTGTATAAGTGTCAATTTAATCCGCATGGAGGACTATTTCAGCCCATATTAAAAGAGTCGGGAGACTAATTTGACACTTTTATCTCTGGGAGGACGATGTATCTTAGTGTATGCTTTTCGCTCATGAAATGAAGATCTAAATTGGAGTCTAAAGGCCTTTGTTTGAATATATCTATAATTGAATGCATGGAAGTAGTCGTAGCTCTAGTGGCAGAGTTATAAGTGTGGGTGATCAAATCATTAAAAAGTGTGAACATTTGTTTTAAATATCTAGAGTTTATTGTTAGAGTGATAGTGATATAGATGGGGATGTTATTAGTAGAATTCAAGTTGGTTGGAGGAAGTGGAGGTATGCATTGGGCCTATTGTGTGATAGAAAAAGTACTGCTTATACTCGAAGGAAAATTTTATGAGATGGTGGTAAGACTTGCAATGCTTTATGACGTAGAATATTGGTCTTTAAAAGAGAAACATAAAACAAAGTTAAATGTTGCTGACATGAGAATGCTTAGGTGAATGAATGGCTTGATACTTAGAGACAAAACGTGAAATGAATTTATCTATGAAAGAGTTGGTGTAGCTCCAGTGGAAAACAAGATTAGAGAGTCCTGTCTTAGATGATTTGGTCACATTAAACATCGATCATCTGATGATCCGGTTAGAAGAGTAGATGCTTTAGAGTTGACTTATGTTAAGTAGGGCAGAGGTAGACTTGGGCATATTATATAAAAAATAATCTTAATCTATTATAATTAAATGAAAATATGACACTTAATAGAATGCAATGGAGAAAAATGATTTATGTAACCGACCCCACTTAGTGGATAAAGGCTTTTTATTGTTGTTGTATAGACTACATGACTAAATGGTCCCATGTAAAAATAGTCTGAGGATTATTTTGACTCTTTATTAAAAATTAAAGTTTAGATGTTAGACATGTTAAAACATAAGAATTGAGTGGTATGTATGCAAATCTTCCATTTAACTAACCTCAACCCTTTGCAAGGCAGATGAAGGTTCATCCCTGAATTCAGGGGGATTCGATCGGGACCGAGGAGAAACTAATCCGAGTTTTTGTCTCTGCTCCATATGATTGCCCCTTCTTATGAAAGAATCATCTACGAGAGGTAGTGAAGTTAGATGAAATTCACCTTCAAATTCACAATAAATTCATGTGAAATGCATTCTATGCTTTACCTCTTGAAAGCCTAGGTCCTTTTATATCGCGGCTTTTCTTAGGTTTCCAAGTTTTCGAAAAGAGCCCGCCAAGACTTCCGAGGAGCCTTTCCCCCTAAAAAAAAATGTAGACGATTCAATATGATTCCTTTCCATAATGATTGTAATTCTACTACAAGAAATATAAGTGAGATGATAACTTGGGAAATTTACATATATTACCACAGTTTTTATGTATTTACATAACACCCAAAGTTTGATATTTACACATTTAACATCTTGGTGTCATAATCGTATGCATGAAAATGTGTATTTTACTTTATAAAATTTACCGATGGTGATATCTTTAATGTGATGTTAAAGATTTGAGTGGCATGAACATAAATATGAGAATTTAGGTTTTGGATACGTAAATACATAAGAACTGTGTAGCATGTATGTAAATGCCCCTAACAAGTTTCAAAATGACAAAAATGATAAATTTTGAAGGACTATAATTTCGATAAATACCGTATTAGCTCCTTCATTGGTTTAGTCCAATATTTATCAAATCCCAACATTCACAAGGTCGGATTTAAAGATTCTCCCTCACAAATCTTAAATCTCAAAAAATAACTAAATAGTTCATCAACATTTGACAGGATTAAACAGTTCATCATGCTAGATAACTTTTTTGGTTTTAATCCTCTCAAAAGTTATTAAATCTACATTTATTAGATTTAATAAATTCTGTCTTATATACATACCACCCAATTCCTATGTATTTACATATCTAACATCATAACTTTGTTTTTTTACATTCATACCACTAAAATCTTTTATATCACATCAAAAATACCACTATCTTAGCTTTTAAAAAGTAAAATACACCTTTTTCATGCATAGGAATGGCGGCAGATAAGTAAAAATTGAAGCTTACCTGGTATATATGTAAATTCATAAAAATTAAGTGGTATGTATGCAAATCTTCCAAAAAAAAATAAATAAATAAAAATTTACATACCCTACTAAGATCTTGATCAATATTTGTTGCAGTTAAGTGAGTTCTAGTTATTTGTTCACCCTGCTGGTGAAGGGTAACAAGAGTCTTAGAGGAAACTTCTCTAATCTCTTCAGCAACCTTCAAAGAGGCATTTATTTTCTGTGTGGTCTCCTCTGCATGCTGTACAGCATACTTCTCCAGTTCCTGAACTGATGACTGGCTCTCAAAACCATTATATTCATCGAGTCCATTCTCGTACCGATTCGTCCCGGCGGCAAAAGCGGAACGCGAAGCTGGTGAATGCCCACTTGCTTCATAAGTAGATTTTGGACCTCTGTGGCTCGACTGGTTGATTGCCGGAGCAGACGAAGCTCTTGTAGGTCGAGCATTTCTTTCAGTGTCCGAATCAGAGTCGAAAGGGTTGTTGCTTGAAAAGCCAGATGCTCCATTGTTCTTCCCGTAGAGCTTTGTATTAGGCGTCTTTGGTACACCAACTCTAGACATTTTGTTGGCTCGATAATACTCTATAAAATGCTAGAGAGCCAAAAAGAAAAAAAAAACATCAGAGTTGGAGCAGGAAGAAACAAAATTTGATTGAAAAGCTAGAAACTATGATAAGATATTATTAAATTAGTCAAAATAGCCCACTGACTATTTACATGAATTATTTTAGTCCTAAAGTCTGTAAGTGCCAAATTAGTCATTAGACACTTTTAACATGCACTGAAATGGTCCCTACGGTGACTATTTTAGCCCCCATTAAAAGAGTTTGGAGACTAATTTGACACTTTTATAGACTTTGGGACTAAAATGATTTTTAAAAGGAGCCAGAGGACCATTTTGACACTTTTCTCAATAAAATTAATTCTTATAGATGTTACAACATAGAAAGAGTTAAGAAAGCAAAGAAAAATCACGAAGAAAGTTTCAAAAAAAGGGCGGATTCAATAGAACACAATAAAAAAAACTCCGAAGCATGTCACACTTTGATTAGGATTTTAAGAAATAGGCTACAAAACTTAGCATTTTCGCTACACCTTATCCAAACATTAATAAAAACCACAACAAAAGTTCAATGGAAAAGAAAATGTTATAATAGAATCTTTCATAAGTTTAATAAATAAACCCATGACAAGTTACAATCATTCACCATAGCGTAATAAAAGATTATGTACAGACACCGGCGGCAATAACATGTGTTATGTAAAAGGGATAATCTCCTAAAAATGTATTGTGAGTAGAACAATCATTAACAATGTTATGATAAAGTTATTCGGCTCAAGAAAAACTTAATTCGAGTAAGATTTAGTAAATTTTGTAAATCTTGAGAGGATTAAAATATGAAAACTACTTGGATGACCCTTTTTACCTCTTTATATATACGAATAAATGGTTTAAGGGGTTGTTTAGTGAAGAAGGCTTTCAATAGGATTTATCCCGGATTTACTAAATCCAAACAAATAGCAAGATGGGGGAGTTCAGTGGATTTATGGATTTAGGGATTTAATTAAACAAATTTGCCTTCAATTCAACCTAAATCCCCAATTTATCAAATCCCGAAGTTCGGTGGATTTATTGATTTACTCAATGTTATGAACGTTAAATCCTACTTGCAGCCAAATATTTACGATTTTTTAGAGGATAAATCAAATCCATTAAATCTTGTCATTGGTGGGATTAAACAAAACCTACATTGTACTAATAACAGGATTGAAACTGGATTTATCAAAATTGTAGGATTTGAAGTCCCAAAGATTTTTTAAGAAATTGCATAATAGAGGACTTAGTGGCATTTACATACTTACCGCCCAATTCCTATGCATTTACATACATACCTAAAAATTACTTTTTACATTTACACAACCCAAATCATTAGAATCACATAAAAAAAAATACCACTATTTTAACTCTTGAAAAGTGAAATGCGCCTTTCCATGCATATGCGCGACATAATAAATGTAAAAAACGAAGTTTAGGTATTAGATATGCAATTACATAAGAATTATGTGGTGTGTAAATCTTCCATAACACTATTTCCACAAATCCCATTTCAAATCCATTGTTGATTGAATCTACAATTTGTTAAATCCCATCATTCATAGGACTAAATAAGGATTTAAACATTCCTCCTCTCACAAATCCTAGACCCTAAAACAAACAACAAAAGGTTTTATTCAAATTTGATATTTTTCAATTGCAAATTCAAACTTTTTTCACATTTTAATCATAAAGACTTACAAAATCAGGATTTTCTTAACCCTAATTGTAACCAGACAGCCCCAAAGATTTCCTGAACAACCCTACAGAATTAACCACCAAATCTCCATTAGAAGAAAACAAAATTACTAATAAAATCAAATCTGCAAAAACAGGGCATCTACGGTTCCAACATATCCCACGACGACCAGCGTCCCAAATTTAGCAAAATAATTATCGGTCAAAAAATAATCCCATAATCAACACACAGATTATCCTCCGACAGCTCAAACAGGATCAATACCCCAAAACAAGACCGTCCCTTTCCGCCTGATTCTATCAAGATCACACCAACAAACCCTAAAATCGAAGAAGAAAGAATCAATTGAAACTTTTATAAAATAAAATTCAGAAAACAGAGCGGAATTAGTGAAGAAAAGATTACCTGAAAAGCCCCAAACGATCTTCCGAACTCAAGAACCCTAAACCATAAAATAAGGCAGCGATCGGCGAATCGTTCAAAGCTAGAATCTTTCAAAACGCGCTGTTACTCGGAGAACTGCGGAGGAATTAAAAAAGTCTGCTTGCAGAAGAATTTAACCACAAATTAACAAAGAAAAAAAAACAATAAAAACGAAGAAAAATCTTCTGAAGCGTTGAAGAGATCAAAGAAGTGTTGTGGAAGGGGAAGTCGGTAAACGATTTCTTAGCCATGAAAATGGACCGTTGGAAGGGGTGATGCCTCTACGCGGCACTGCTTTGATCACTACCGTTCATTTTGGTCAACAGATGATCGGATGGTCAATGCAGAGTATTGTGGTTCCTTTGGTAGGTCTTTTGCAGCTTTGAACTTCTAGAAGGATTAGCTTTCCTGAAATATATATGTATAATTTATCATTAAGAATAAGTACAATGATTAGTATATTAATTACAATTTTGAATATCTTTAATCGTAATGATAAGTTTATAAATTGATAATAAAAACACATTTTTAGTAGAATTAATAATAACATAAAATTAATACAAATTTAAAAAGATAAAAGAGAAACAAATAAACAAGAATTTATCTAAAAAAGAATTTAATAATGTTTTAACACTCCCTCATAATATAAAAATGATATATATATATATATATATATATATATATATAATCAACGATTTCTCTAATGACCTATCGATCTGCCTAGCCTTAGCAGGAGTTTAATACCGATATAATAATATTTTAATATCATACAAATTTCATGCACCACAATCAAGGCACATGAATATAACTATAATATACCCAACACTACTTATAAATAATTATGAATTTGTAACAATGAGATTTAGATATTAGAAATACAAGACATAAGTAATTAAATATAATTTTATGCAATAATAAAGTAATATTGATTGTTCATGAAATTCATTATGAACAAGAAATAAAATTTACTTCAACCATATTGACAAATTTGAAGGTATCATTAACAAATCTATAGCTAGCTAGAAATCAAATATAAGTAGTAAGGATGCAACTCATAAAAATAAAGGGTATGTTTTTCCCCTAATAATTAATAGTTACTTAACTTGAGAAAATAAATAAAATTTCAAATTTAATAGTGATTCAGCCAAAGTCAAAGAGTAGGTCCTACACATAAAAATTTTGAAATATTAACAATTATGCAATTATATCATTAAAACTAATTATTTATTGAGTTAGGAGTAACCTAATTGATATTTTTATTAATGTTGTTGTTGTTGTTGTTATTGTTATTATTAATTGTATAAGAATACATAGGGAATGATTTGAGATTAACCTTATCTTAACCTAAGAAGATTACCTAGCAAAAACATAAATAACAAATCAAATCATTAGGAAATAACATTATTAAAGGAAGGAGAATAATAAGAAATGAGGGGAGAGCCCACCTAAGGCCTCCAACATGGGAAGAAATTTGTCCATTAAGGAGGAGGGATAGCTGAGAGGGTGAAGGAAGGTGGAAAGAAGAGGGGTTTTGGTGAATGCTAAGGGGAGACTGAATGACACATGGGAAGAGGGTTATGAGTCATCCGATGCCCAAGCCCACTTTCCCTTAAATTAAGGTTGGGAGTTGAACACATGAAGCAAGTTTAGGAAGGCGACGATGAGCGGAAGAAAAAGGTGTGCTAAGAATGTGTTCGAAGTGAGAAAGTGATAGGGAGCGGAGGAAGTAGAGGAAAGAATGATATGACTTATGCAATAGTGGGAGTTGAACACATGAAGCTAGTTTAGGAAGGCGACGATGAGCAGAAGAAAAAGGTGTGCTCAGAATGTGTTCGAAGTGAGAAAGTGATAGGGAGCGAAGGAAGTAGAGGAAAGAATGATATGACTTATGCAATTAAGAGAAAGAAGGTATCACTCTATTAGTGTGATCAAGGCATATTGACAATAATTTAGGGGAAGGCTGCGTGGTTCTGGAGGGGAAGAAAATTAATTTTTCGGTGCCTACATACTACTTCCATTAAAGAATTCGATCCCTAAATTCATACCCAATATTACATCAATCTTAGCTAGTGAGAATATTATAAGTGTAACAAATATATGCAAATTGTTGATAATAAAAACACACTGCGTAACAACTACAGATGAGTGAGATGCATACTTAATGCTAGAAGTGACTGTAATGAAAACTCTGATGCACTAAATGTAAATTTATGTGATGCCCTGATATAAAATTGTACTTTCAATGGTTGCTTAAAAAATAGAGATGATTCCTGCCATCACCTCAGAAGCTTTAATGGTTTTGCATCATAGAAAAATACTTGAGATGGAATTGTCTGTATGGCTAGCTCCAGAGCCTGAGGTCACTAAGATTAGTACTGCACCATTGATGTGTGTTGATACGTCAGTGGCAACAACTGATCTCGGTTGAATATATTTGTGTAAAATTTATAAAGTTGACTCCGCTTTATAATAATACCAAAAACTTGAAGTGGTATTTTAATAATAATAATGTTAGGCTCTTAAGATTGAGATTCTACGCAAGTATACATATTGTTATCAAGTAATATAAAACTTTCTGTTTAAGTCCCAAATATTGATCCCACGAGGAAAATTTAAATTTGAAATGATAAATTAACTAGGAAAATCACAGAAATCATGCAAAATTACTGTCACTAATTTTGAATTTTGAAGATACTATCAAAGCTAAATTATTTACTACTAACAGAATTTAAAATTAATAACTACTAAACTATGTTTATATGATGAAATTTTCTAAGATGAAAAAACATCTTTCCCACTACAATGAGTTTTTTGTGAAATGAGATGAGATAAATAGTTTAAATATGTATTGTGTCAAATAAAAGCACTTTTAATTCTCTACCTTGATTCAGTGTTATAGAAAATCATTGACTAATCATATGTTTAGTCCCTAAATTCATGGCTAGGCTAGGAGGATACTGGCTCCCACTCCAGAGCTCCCACTTCCCTTCCCTTGAAGGCTCTGCTTTTGTTTTTAAAAACTAAGATCGAATTGGGGATTTTTAGTCTGTCACTCTAGAAATATCAAATTCTACACCCAACAAAGTATATTTTCCCATTTATTTGCACTTAATTCCATGAACGAAATACTCCTTCATGGACTTAAATGTGATTCTCACTATGTTGTAGAACTCATACTCCATTTCCAGGATCATATGTTTCACAACATATTTTAACAATTCAATTGGCCGGATCGAAAAGTAAATTAAGAGCGGAGTTGAAAAACCATCACAATTTATTTTAAATTTTAACATTGACACATCCACATTATCTTTTCTTTTCAACAGATCTCAGAGTAGGGAGAAAGATAAAGTAAACTACTCAGACTTCATGAGAAAGATACAACAAAACATAAATTTCATATATAAAAGAAAGTTCATATAAAAATAATAAACAAGCAACACTTATTTGAAACTCTTTTTCAAAGCAAATCCTTTGTAGCCTCTCTTAGGAAATGTAGGAAGAAGAAATCTCTCATTTTTTTTTCCTCTCCAGCACTTCTTAGAGAAGAATTCACACTTAAACTCACCA